AATTAATTTGCAACAGACTTAAAAAGTAAACATTTTCTGCAGAGTATATCATTCCATTAATTCAAGAATTAATAAAATACATTTAATTTTGGAATAATAACGCGACATTAATTAAGACGTCAATTTAACAACTAGGCGGTGATATTTGAATATGTTAAACTTAAAAATCTTTATAGTACCCAATAAAATATTACAGACACGGTTTCAGACTCTTATATACAAGTATAAATAAAAATTAAATTGCTATTTTTAGCTCTACATATACACGCCACATATATAATAAATATCGAATAATTTTCACATTAGAAAAAGAATTCATGGCTGAAGGGTTAAAGTTCCCGTTAGTAAATTCATTCCACAACTCGGGCCAAACCTTAATAAACTTGCCACAAATGTATCTTTTTCTCTCTCTTTTTCCCCCCTTTCTTTTTCGAAGACGCATTCTTACTTTAACTTCATCATTTGCATTCCTCAGCCAAAAGTGCATTTTTAGAAATGCGTTTTCTCAGACAAATCGCGTTGTTTGCTCTTCTCTCTGCCAATATTATCAATTGTCGTCGATATTTTAATCCTTGGAGTAATGCGATAAAATTTATTAAGATTATGGAAGATTAGAGAAGAGGGGATTACAGAAAAGCAATCATCTCGAAATCGTGTCACCATAAATATTTTCATCGCTATAGAAAACAGTTTTATTACAGACAATTGTTACGTGCGTAGCGGGAGTTTCTTTGCCGAAATATATTGGTTTTTGTATGCCTTAGTTCTGGTAGTCATTGTCAGCAGATCAATATTTCAAGGAAATTTTCAATTTCTTAGAAAGATTCAAGATGCACATCTTTGTATTCGGAAATGTCCGAGATGCGAGGAAGCCTTTTCTGGCTTTTATGACATTATTATTATTGTTTGTTTATTATCTTGTGAAATGTTTTTTTAAGCTTCCGGAAAGTTGACAATAGGGATAATCTTTATAACTATGAAGGGATCAAAATAAGCCTTTCTTCTTCCTACGTATTATATTTAAACCTATTAATGTTAATAGTATAATAAAACTCTCCAAGAGACAGTAGTCAAGAATGGAAACAAGTGCAGTAAATCTAGTACAGTTAAAATTATTAGCTCGATTTAGTTTCTTATAACACCGGTTTTCAAATATATATCTATTCACGCAGAAAGCTTTTACTTCTAATCGATGGTCTCTTCTTCAGGTAAATATTTTGTCCTTTTAAAATCCGAAAAATTCTAATCTCTCGAAAAAAGATTCTGAAAAAGAAAAAAGAAAGACGAGGGGAAAAAGAAAAGAGGAAGAAAGAAGAAAAGACAGAACCGACTTTTTTTCAGTATTATTATACGTATCGAGTCGCCATTTCCTGTTTATTCCCTGCAATAATTCCGTGCTCTATCTCGCTTCTTCCAAATGATGCGTGCACGCGTATAATAAGCGATCAATCTCACTCGGCATCTCCATTAGATCAGCGTTTTATCCGCCGGATATAGGTTTAAGCTACATCATATAAATATATCCTGGATTATCGATTGTACATATTGTTTTTCTCGCGTTGAGAGAATTGGAGTTAAAAATAAATGTACACATAAAAAAATATAATAACTGTTTCACAAAAAATATAATAAATATAATAGATATAAAAAATATAATAAATATAATAACTGTTTCACAAAAATTAAAAAATTATTGCAAAGATTAATCTCGTGCTTTGTTGCATCTTTCCCGTAATAAGAGCAGAATCCTTTCGCAAGACCAAGAGAATCGAATGAAGGGATTGGTGCCCTGCCTTTTAATTGATCGCGCGAAATAATTAAAATTTATAGCTCTTTCTTCTTCTCTCCCTCTCTCTCTCTCACATGTGCGCCCGTTTGTGACAATTACTATAATTGCATAAAGGGCCCACCCGCCACACCCAGCTGATTAATGTAAGCGGCGATAGCGCGAGCGAGTATCTAGCTTTAGTCTTTCGTCCCGCATCTCTTCTCGTTTTGTTCGCCGTGCGCGCATCTTGATGAGACTCGCCTACGATAATGACACGGCGCAATCGTGGCTCTTGAATTTTCAATCGCGTTAAGTTAATGCGCGACAAGATATCCATAAATAGACCAATTTGTTTTGTCGTTTTCGCTTTCCACGTGATTCCATTTCTTTCCACGTTACGTTTATAATGCCGCAATGTTCTTCTATTAACAATTATTTAATGATCGCTTTTTCCGTTATCGTTATAAGTGAATAGTAAATTGAATTTTATTTGGCGTATCGATATTGAGTTAATTAAAAGCCCAATGCAAATATATTTATTAAAATATATTGCATTCTTTTCAATAGCAATTTTGCTTTCGTTTATTTTGAAATAATTATTTCTAAAATAATAAGCTCGAAATAATAAGATTATTTAAAACTCTTATAACCGACTGAATCTTCTCAATCACGACGATTAATACTGACAAATATTTAATGCGCTCGCTCGATTGCTCATATTTCAATTTACGAAGGAATATTCTGTACAGTATATGATGCTGGAATTTCAAACTTCATTACGAAATTAGCCCTTTGAGCTATAAAATATCCATCCGACTCTCTGTGAACGCGCTTTTAGTTTACAAATTGCAAATTAGAGATTGTATAATTCGTGATTTTTCATCTTGTAGAAAATACACTTGCTGCATTCTTGAGCAGTATATCACGATGAGATACCACGATGCCTTTTATGCTTCATCTATGCCAAGTACAATCGCGCTTTACGTTTAACAATTACAGATAAACATTCTCTTCGTTACATATATCATAAGATTTTTGTTTCATCTCCTCTTATTAAAGATTTCAATTTAATGCTCGCCGAGTGATTTTCAGTAAACGCACTTTTCAAATGCATACGTGTAAACTTTGAAATGAGTGCAAAAGAGTGCAAAAGAGTGAGTATAATAACTCGTGTCTCTTTTGTCGAAAAGAATAATGTTTAACGCTCAATTATCTTTGCTAATATTACATTGTAATTTCTTACAATCGTCTTGCTATCGCGAAATCTTCTTACGGTTGTCTTCCGATTCGAGAGATTTCTTTTTCGCGAGCTCGTGTTAATTCGAAGAAATCTCGTCCGTTAATTGCAACCACGATTAAGACCAAGATACGAAAGGAAAAGCGTATATAAAGTCGGCGCGGTTACTAAAAATCGCGGCGCGTTTATCTGGGAGTGCAAGCAGCTGATTTATTATAAGTAACGACGAGAGTAATCGCGTCCTAATCGACCGGCAATTAACTTTGCGTTTCCAATTAACGGAGTAAAGCATGATTGTATTTTTCGTCGCGATCTCCGCGAATAAACGACTGATTAGCAATTACTCCTCGATATGCACTTCACGTTACGTTATCAACAATATCATCTGATACGTTATCCTAATAACAGTTGATGGGAAAATAAACTATTAGTACTCGTTCTATCCAAGCTTTATGCGGTTTAAGAAAAACATTTTGATAGCGCGATTTGACAGTTCCCGACGGTACACGAGCCACGTGGTTCTTCTCTCCTTTTTTATCGCTTCCATGTGAATTAATAATTCCAAAGTTTGATATCAATTTTCACCTATTCTTGTTTTACGCTATCGTAAATTCAAGCTAAGATTTTGAAAAAGATAGAGTAAAAGAAATGGCACAAATTAAAATGCTTAAAGTTGGGAAAACGAGTAACATTAAAGTATTTAAAACTTAGTTATATTGGACTTGAACGATTTAAAAAAAAATGTAATTATATTTTTTGGGAAAAGGAAAAATTCTATAAAACATCTATGTCTGAAACGCATGAATTCTTTCATTCAGGTAGCTTATTTAAACACACGGAAAATTTGCTGATATATAGACACCGACAAAGTATAAACTATTTCATTAATAACGAAAATTATATACCCAAGCATGGCTGATCGAGGCACGCATACACGTACGAATCTCGCGAGGCGAGCGAGCCAAAAAGCCTCCGGATCCTGTAACCGAGGTAGACCATAAGTCAGACTCGAGGCGGCGCGGATACCCGAAGATATCCGTGAGGAACGACCCGGCGTGCCTTCTTATCCACGTCCGATCTGGTCGGACATTATAGGCGCGACAAGGTGGAGAGGAGACGGAGGCTAACGCGCGCTCGTCGACGAGAGAGAAAGCCGGAGCCGGAGCGCCCAAGACGAGAGCGAAACGCAGAATCGAGGCGCGGAGAGAAGGGAGGAAAGGGCCCGGGTGAAGAGAGAAAAGAAAAAGATTTGATATAAAAATCGATCTCGAGCGTGGTCGCCGCCTCCTTGAATGCGGTACCACGGTTTCCGCACGTGGGCGTCATTCGCTCCGCCTTTGAAAGTCACCGCGATCCGATCCGGAGAACCGCCTATAGTCCGGTCGCCAACGGATCCGCCGATCCCTCCCCGGGTTCTATGCCTGTTGTCACCCCTCTTCGCTCGCCGCGAACCCATCCCTTCTCGGTGGCGTCGCCGCAGCCTTTCCGGCCACCTCTCGTCCCGCGGCACCAACGCGGAGAGGTGACTGTCCAGAACAGTTTTAGAGACGCAGTCATCGGCTGCACCACGTCTTCGACGCGCAGGCCTGCGTGTTACCTCGAGTGCGAACGCGTTTAGATTCCGCGGCTCCTGGAAGATTCAGAGACAATCGGATGATGATGGACTAGGTCGATTTACGACTCGACTAAATTGGATTGTTGAATCTCATCTTGGAAACTTTCGATTTCTGCTAAAGAGGTGAATGGAAGTGTGATTATATATTCGGATAATAAAGTAATTTTTGTGACAAGTGTGTTGATGCGACGAAGAATACTCTTTGGAATCGACAGTGCACTCGAATTATAAACTGGATACTGTAAGAAAACCTAAGTGAATGGACTTAAAATAAATTATTACTAAAAAATAATCATAATGTTTCGATAGAATTGAATTATTATCTAAGAGATAGAAGAGTCTCGTAAATTTTATTAGATTCCTCAGAGGATTTAAATTTGGATTATTCTAAAAAAAGAGAGAAAGAGAGTTTGAAAGAAGATTCAGATTATTTCCAATCATATATCGTGCTCATCGAAAAATATTATTTGTAAACTCTCAAAATTTCTGATAAATATATTGAACATTTCCCGCTAATAATGAGATAAAGTGCTCGAGATAAGAGCCTGCTGGGTGAAAGAAGTGTCTTCTTCCGGAAATAAGAAAATATCTAGAACCTATCTAGGACCTATCTAGAATAGATAATGAAACTTGACAGACAGTTTACGGTGTTTTAGTGCGGGTGATGTGTCAACGAATCTTTTCCGAATTCTAACGTTTCGGTCCTTGATTGACTCAAAAATAAGTTACGCGAGTAATTGATATAAAATCATCAGCTGATCGTAATTGATTGAAATATTTCGCGGATGTTGGTTTCGACAAAAATCGCGATCAAAGTTTCAAGCAACATGGAACAAACTGATTACAAATCGCCGAGTGTCTTCGCGTACAACAATTGATGTAATCGAGGCACGTATAAATCTTTGTCTACGAAAGAAGAAATTAATTAGCGAAGCGCACAGGAAGGAAGAAGACAGTGAAAAGTGACGCGGTTTCGTACTCTATTAAATTATTTACGCAGTGCCGAAAAGAGAAGACTGTATAAAATTACATGTTTGTCCTGCCACCAACACATTTTCGGGCCAAATAAATTTCTATAAGAGAATGTCAAGCGCTGACTGATAACACGTGAGTACTGCATTTTCGGCGATAGCGAAATTTTCAAAGAAACGCGAGAAAATTTTTATTTAAAAAAAATATATCCATTACACATATATTTAGACGACATATTTTAAACTACTTCCATTTTAAAAAAATGAAAGAGATAATATATATCGTAGGTCAATATAGTTTCTCTTCGCTTATTTAATTGTCGTTCACGACAAGTATATCGTTGAGTCGGCGATCGCGATTATTAAATTTAATAAATCTCTAATTATTAAATATTAAATTTAATTAATTGCCGCGTCGAAGCCGAGACAAAATTAACCGGAAGATCGGGAATGCCGCGGTGATTTTAGCGAATCACCATTTTTGCATTCGCGCGACAAAGCTCAAGATAAGGATGACCGTCGCGCTTATCAGGATACACGCTATATCGCAAATTATAACGTATTTAGTATATGAATATGTACAAGCGCGCATCTCTTTGTCTCTATCGTCGTTTCCGCCTATCGATGTTAATTAGCGATAATAACGATGGCGATAGCTCGTATACGGAAATCGTATATATAGCCTTCGCGCACACGTGCACGCATAAATTTCTGCTCATATCGTATTGAATATTGAATTGCGAATTGACATTGCGAGCTCGATATCAAGGAGCGAGATGCATCGATTTTTTGCGTGCGGATTTTTTTTACGCATCTTTCCGCCGTCGATTATAAAGGACTTTCTTGTTTGCCTCTCTTACGTGTCCACGATTAAAGAGGCGAAAATTATTACATTATTATGCACGGTAATAATTTTTGCGACGTTGAGAGAGTTTTGAATGTGTGGATACGGAATACTGATACGCTCGGTAATTATCGATACGGCTTTTGCCTTTTTATTAAACTTGAAACATGGTTTTAAATATACTCGGTGTCATTGTTCTCATTGCGCAGTTAACAAATGTTATTTGTATGACTAGTGCTATGGGATTCGCGTGACACGAAATTACTGTTGCAGAAAGAAACTTTATAGGTAATATCGAGCAACAGTAAGAGCGATCCGATGTTGGCTGTCGATCGTTATCGATTAATCGCATTCATTACTGTTAATTATTTTAAGTAAAATCTGAAAAGATGGATGCCTTTCAATTCGATATAATTATACTCAAGTTTCATATATACATGTATATAATTGATTTTGCTCGTTAACGCAAAGAATATCACTTTTAAGTAATTAAAATTAACAATCTTTGTATAAATTTTCTCAAAATATCTCTATAATAGCGGTGAATATTGTAACTCGAAAACACTGCATATAAGAAACAATGTAAATAAATTACATGCGATCTTTAAATTCAGACTTGCATCGAAAAGAAGAGCTCCGCAAATTCTTCTAAAAAAATTAATACACATAGTTGGGAATAATTTAATTTTAAAAAAACGAAGCAATATTTTCGAATTTCATATATTGAAATTTTGATGCTAAACCGCGTTGAATTTTAATACTAACAGTCACGAATTGAATAAGACGAAAATTGCGAAAATAAAATGGCGAAAAGCTCCGCTCGCCCACAGCCCATAGTCGCGTTGCAGTTTCGGTGTGTGTTCCAGACGTGGAAATAGTTGGATACATTCTTCGAGGAGGAACACGACCGTCGCCGATAAATCACGAATTGTTCGACGCGGCAATATCGGTTAACGGTTATTACGATCGAGAATATGAAACATTTTATTGCATGGCATGACATTACCGTCGCATCTGGCGTGTAAGCGATAGTCACGAGCTACAGCCGAGTCACAATTCGTTATCTAGTCCGTTGTTATCTGAAACGCGAAATTGGAAACAATGCCTCCGTCCGAGACACGACTTTTCCTCTTCAAACGTCCTGTTAACGTGTTGCGTGTGAAACGCAGCGTTAGAAATAAAAATTATATGTAACTATTAAAATATGCAATATAAATTATAGCTAACGAAAAATAAAGATAATCGAGATATGTACATTTAAAATTGCTTAAATATTCCTCCATATATATATATATATCAAATATTAAAAAAGTAAAATAATAATACAAATATACGTATAAAATATATATATATATGAAATATATGTCAAAATAATTTATTAAAATATTCCTTGATTTACGATAAAAATTTATCGTTGCATTACGACAAAGAATTATCAGCAAATTTTTTAAAATTAACGTTACGAATACTTGTCGTGTTGAATTTTATCAGACTGTTTTGCGCGAAAAAAAAATATTCAATTTAACGAAAATTTCTGCGTTATAATTTATAATCTGTTTTTCGATCGATATAAATAAACATATTTTTCATCGATATCATCGGCAGCTGGCGGAATCATAGCATCTATAAATATCGATTTATCTACCGAGATGCTGCGCCAGACATCGTCAATATCCAGGCATCTGTTGCACGAGATACTTTCCAGCGCCGCCATTGCGATATCTGGAACCATCCCGTTACCTGAATATTTCTTGCTTCTTTTTTTTTTCATCCACAACTTACCCTCGAGCTTCATCCAAGAGCATCTCACATTCTACGCGCGGCAATTAAAATCGCTCTTTGATGCTCTCTCAGACACCAAGCTCTTTTGTAAATTTAACATTTTATCTTCAAAATTTTGATATAATTAATAGAATCTTGACTTTGAAATGAATTTTATCGTTCACACGAGAGCAGAGAGCGAGGTTAATTGTTCTTTAAAGATGTATTACGTAATTAATGAACGATGCGTGAAATCTGAGCGTATTCGTAGAAGAGGTAAATGTTAAGGTGACGTTGTTTAACGAGCAGGCGGAAAATCGATTCCGCTCGAGTCCCGACGAGCCTCGTAAAAGTTACGCGCCGAGATAGATAATTAGTCGGCGAAGCTATTGTTGCCGGTTAACACACGGGCAGACCGTATCGCGGTGCGGGAAATAGCTGTTTAGATAAAACACATGCGGTGGAAGAATGGCGGTGCCGGCATATTTCGATGCACCGCGATAAGTATTCATGAAGTTGATCAAGTTATCGTCGACTCCTTCAACATCGTCCTGTGAACGCGCTATCTATCTCTCTTAGCGGGATAACGATAGACGGTATCTGCTCGCTTCGAAATATAAGTCGAAATTCCATTCATCGCCTTTTCCAAACAGACCGCTTTTCCAACGTTGAATACAATTTTCAGATCGGTCCTTTCGAATTTTTTAAAAAGAAAAATACATGGATTAAGATAAAATAACTGATACACAAAAATAGCATAGTAACTCGACTCTACAAATATTTAATACTTGATAACTTTATTTGTCAAGCCAACACATTTCCCTCTAAACATTAGAAATCGGCGGACATCACGGCCAATAAATTTTTTCCCCGTATACATCTCTCCTGTACAAGAGGGTGTCTCGCGTGGACGTGCGACTATCGGTCGCTCATAAAGCTCTCGCCGTGGAACAATGGCTGTCACTGGTATCGCGATACGCACACCGCTTGCTTTCGGTATCGGACTCGCCTTTTATCGCGACGCGAAGCCACGCTCCTACGTTCGCCGTCTCACCAACGCTCGGACAAGTGTCGCGACATGCGGGTGAAACTCCACTTTTTATCCTTCAGCACCCAGTGTCGCACCCGAGCTGAACGATGATAAGTATAATCAGACCTGTTGTCAACATTTGTCAGGTGCAGAGCTAATATCGATGTATCGAATAGTTGTAAAAATATATTGAAAAAGAATTTAGAGAACGTATAATTATAATATAATATAATATTACAATATTATATTTCTCTTTCCTTAAAATGTATACAAATTGGAGTGAAACGTAAAATATTTTCATACAAATACAAGTGTAACGAAAATAAAAATTACAACGTTTAGTGCTGATAAAATAAAGGACGCGTTCTCTAGATGCATTGAAAAAAAATTCTAGGTAAACCTGTGAGAGCCATTTAGTAATGCATTTTTTAAAACATTTAGTTTTTATCATCAATACAATAATAATAACATGTAAATGTTACGATTAACTAAATTATTTCGCTTTAATTATCTATACGTTTAGTTGAAATTATTTCACCATAAATGTATAGTTGATTAAGATGAAATGAGTTTATTAGTTAATCGTAACATTTAGTGGATTTAACTAAATGTAAAATACTATTACTAAATATAAAATATTTTATTATTATCATTATACTTGATGATAAAAATTAAATATTTCAAGAAATGCATTACTAAATGCATCTCTCAATTACCAACATTTTTTTTCAGTGTTTGTTCATCAAACAAAATCGTTCACACGAAAACGTTCATCAACAAAAATTTATGTTTATCGACAAAATTTTTTTATCTAAAAACATTAATATGCGGTAACAAATTCGACAACATTTCTCTACCTCTTTCAATCTCAATGTTGAATAAATTTGTAGAATAACTTAAACATCAAACACACGAATAACATGTCCAGTAAAAATTATGCATCGTGATTTAGTTTGCAAATGGCGTCACTCTTGAAAATTATTCGGCCGAGTTACGGAAGACCATCGGAACATTATCGGCCACTTTACGATAGGTTATCGCACTACCGGGTGCTCTTCGGTGATTATTTCACATCCGCTTCAGTCATTTGTAATCAGTGTCTTTCTGGTCGACCACCTTCCGCCTGCATTTTAATCTTTTTTTTAACTCATAATTTTAAAATCACAAACAATTCTGTTATACTTTCAAATTTGATAAATTGTTTCATTCTTGTAGAATCATTTTGTATCATCATTATAATGTATCCGATATTATTATTCGTTTGAAAAGGCAATATGTACTTTCAATTATAATATTTAAGGAAGCTTGCCCAGTTTTTGATCATTTTGAAATGCTAGAGAAAGAGATGGCACCGATAAATTTTATTCTTTGAATTGTACATCTCAATGCTACTAGACACGATCCTTAAGGATAATTGCGCGAGAGTGTTACCAAACAGCTCTCTAGCTTCCCATAAATCGCTTCGGGATAAAAAAATGCTTCTACACGAGTACCGGTCTTT